CTTTTGGTAATTATGACGTTGACATTCAAAATATTTGGTTTTCAGCAGAAGAAATGGAAAGTATTGGAAATTGCATAGCACTTATAATTACGATAAAAGTTAACAAAAATAAAAACAAATTAATGAGCTATCTAAATTTAAAGAAAAATTGCAATTGCTAAAATTCACAGGAAGTTTAATTGCCACACCGCTTAGCGATTATGAGTTTCGCTATGAGTCTTCAGATTATCAAGGCGAGAAAAGGTTTTGTTACAAAATTCGCAGGCGTACGGCTTTTTGCCGGTATGTTTTCGCATATGACGCTCACAAGCGCCATTTTGGCTGAATGCTTGGCTGCAAACACTGCATTTGAACGGTCGTTCCCCGGAATGCACTCGCATATGTGTGATCAATTCGTTGTTGGCAATGCATTTTTTGGAACAAACGCAGCATACGTGGAGCGTTTCGACGCTGTGGTAACGCAAATGATGGCTGTATAAGCTGGAAGTGCTTCCCAGTTGTTTCCCACATTCCGGGCACTGATACAGCTTCAGTTTCCTGACTTGTCTCGAAACCAGCGATGCATTCGCGTTCGCCTTACTGATTGGAGGCTGTACGGGTTGCGTTATAGCAAGACAGTGAGAAGTTTCTGGGTGTTGCTGAGATTGTTTAGTGTTTCCGATATTGTACTGCTGTTTTTCTAGAGGAGCCAGAGTGTTTTTTGGCAGTGACAAGTCGATTGGGTGTTCCTGCAAAATTAATAATAGTGATAAATAGCATTATCGAACAGCACTCGCAAAATGCTAAAAGGGCGTGGCAAAAACTGACAATGTGATGGATGATTGCAACTGAGCGACTGTGTGGAAATACGTGGACGAGAGAAGCTCATCACCAGAGTAGAACGAGAATCTGTTATGCCTAAATAGCAGCAAGCGTCTTTGGGGACGAGGCCAAAAATTTTTAAACTTTCTTTCTTGTGTGCTACAAAGTCCAAAGGTACCTGTTCTGGATGTCCAGCGTACTGTTTTGCCACCAATGCCTCATTAAAGCGATATTGTGCGCCGACAGTTTCCGAGGAATAACTTGGAATTGGCTAAAATTTCAAATCACTGGTGGAAACGGAGTACAGTTTTTTGAGTGGCGCAGTTATTAATGCTTCCTAAATTTCACAGGAAGGAGCGAAAAGGCATATCGGGAAATTAGACCGTGAAGGAAAAGCAGATCTGCTACTGAAAACATATTTGGAAGATGAAGTGAAGAAGCAGAATGCAAGCAGGGAAAAAAAGAGGTAATGACAAGAGATGTAAAAGCAAGGCTGGACTTCCTATTCGTTATCTTAATACTTCGTAATTTTCTTCTCTATACGATCAGTTTCAGCCTTTATCAATTAAAAGAAAGCAGCTGGAGCTGCTTGTTTTGGCTGTGATATCACGGACTTCAAGAAGAACAATCAAAACTTTTTTAGCGCTGGGAAAATGGAAACATACCGTAAATGGCGCGGTGCAGAAACGAATTGCCACCATGGGCAAGAGGAGAAAAACAAGC